ATCAATTAGCTTTGTTCACCGATGTTTTTGTAATTAAAGTAGCCTCGTATTATTTGTTGATTTAATTGACTTGATATGAAATCTGAATATAAATTATTCGATGGATAAACGTTTGTGATAAGATAAGGTTATAATGTCTAACATCGTTTAACTTTTTGTCCCCCTTCTTTCGTCCGTCCGTCCGTCTGTCTGTCCGTCACACTTTTTGGGACACAATAACTCTCTTTCTAATTGAGCTACAATGTTCAAACTTGGTGTAGGTGTTTATTAGGTCAATGCATTGATGGAGTTTGAAGATGAGAATTTTCTGCTTAGGGTAATCATGCAGAGATAAGCAATTTGATTGGTTGATGCCTTGGGACACGATAAATTTAGTTCTTATTAAGTGAGAGTGATGAAACTTGGTGTATAGTTATATTACATCAATAACTTGACTAAGTTTGATAATGAGCATTTTCTGCTCAGGGTAAGAAGAGCGATAAGTAATTTGATTGGTCAAGACCTTGGAACACAATAACTCTCCTTCTAATTGAGCTAGAATCTTCACACTTGGCATAGGTGTCTATTAGATGAATGCCTTGATGGAGTTCGAAGATGAGAATTTTCGGCTTAGGGTAAGCAGAGATAAGCAATTTGATTGGTTGATATACATGAGACACAATAACTTTAGTTCTAATTAAGTGAGGGTGAGGACACTTGGTGTATAGCTTTATTACATCAATACCTTGACTAAGTTGGACTATGAATATTTTCTGCTCAGCGTCAACAGAGCGATAAGCAATTTGATTGGTTGAAACTCTCCTTCTAATTGAGTAGAATGTTTAAACTTGGTGTAGGCGTTCATTAGTTGAATGCCTTGATGCTTTGAGGCACGACAACTTTGATTATAATGAAGTGAGAGAGATGGAACTCCAAATATAGATTCATTATATCATTACATTGTACCTTGACTAATTTCGATGGTGAGAATTTTCTGCTTAGGCTAATGAGCGATAAGCAATTTGATTGGTCAAGACTTTGGAACATAACAACTCTGCTTTTAATTGAGATAAAATGTTTAGACTTGATGTAGATGTTCATTAGGTGAATTTCTTGACTGAGTTCAATGATTAACATTTCGAGCTGAAGCTAACCAGAGCTAATAAATTTCATTGGTCAATGCTTTTGGACAAGATAATCTTGATTCTATCTGATAGAGATTGATGAAACTTAGTGTATAGTTTGATTGCTTGATACTTTTGAAAAAAAAATAAATGTGTGATTAATTAATGTGTGTCATCTATTTATTTTGGGATTTCGGCGGGGGACATCAGCCTCACTGTTGGCTTGTTTTTATACACCCACATTTTCGTGTGGACGTATATTGCTGTCGCACCTGTCAGTCCGTCCACAATTGTTTGTGGACACTCTACAGGTCACAATTCTTATCAGATGATGACTAAACTTGAAATATGGGTATATCTTCAAAAGATCTCGGTTGCTTTCGATATTGGCATGTATCGGACCTAAACTACATGGATTATGGCCCCTATAGAGGTCACAATTTTTATCCGACTTTGTTTAAACTTGAAATGTAAATTTATAACCCAAAGATCTCGGTTCTTTTCGATATTCGTGCATATTGGACTGTAACTTCCTGAATTATGGCCCATGATTGTACGAAAAATTGGGTTTTTAGCTTGTGAACACTATAGAAGCCTATATTGGATCGTAACTTCCTGAATTATGGCCCCTGATTGTACGAAAAAATTGGGTTTTTAGCTTGTGGACCCTATAGAGGTCATAATTTTTATCCAATTTCAAAAACTGTTTAAATATATTGCAGTTACACCCTAAGGATGGTTGAATTCAAATTTCGTAAAAATCGGACCAAAACTGTCAGACAAAATGGCCGCCCATTGTTATCGAATAGCGTAAAAATAAGGTATATGAATGTTGTGGACTCTCTAGAGGTCACAATTTTCTTCTGATTTTGATGAAACTTGAAATGTAAGTTTATAACCCAAAGATCTTGGTTCCTATCAATATTCACGCATATCGGATCGTATCCTTCTGAATTATGGACCCTGATTGTACGAAAAATCACGTTTTTAGCTTGAGGTCCCTCTAGAGTTTACAATTATTATCCGATGTAAAAAAACATTCTAATATATCATCGTTACACCGTAATTTTGTGAAAATTGGACCAAAACTGCCAGTCAATATGGCTGCCCCTCCTACACAATTAGTGTAAACATATGATCTGGTATATCCAAGTTGTGGACCCTCTAGAGGTCACAATTTTGAAGTAAATGTTTATAACCCAAAGGTCTTGGTTCCTTTCGATATTCGCGCATATCGGATCGTAACTTCCTGAATTATGGCCCCTGATTGTAAAAAAAACGTTTAAATATATCACCCAGAGGTCGCAGTGGATCAATTTCGAGTTGCGTAAAAATACGCAGACATTCTAAAATTTTGCGTTTTTTATTTATACGCCCACATTTTCATGCGGACGTATTATGCTGTCGCCCCTGTCCGTCGGGACGTCCGTCTGTCTGTCCGTCCATCCGTCCACAATTGTTTGTGGACTCTCTACAGGTCACAATTCTTATCCGATTTTGACGAAACTTGAAATATAGGTTTGTCCCCAAAAGATCTTGGCTGCTTTCGATATTGGCATGTATCGGATCGAAAATTCATGGAGTATGGCCCCTGATTGTACGAAAAATCACGTTTTTAGCTTGTGGACCCTATAGAGGTCACAATTTTTATCCGATCTTGTTGAAACTTTAAATGTAAATTTATAACCCAAAGATCTCGGTTCTTTTCGATATTCGTGCATATTGGACTGTAACTTCCTGAATTATGGCCCATGATTGTACGAAAAATTGCGTTTTTAGCTTGTGAACACTATAGAAGTCATATTGTTTATCCGATTTAAAAAATCGTATTATTATATCACCGTTACACCTTAAGGACGGCTGAGTTCGAATTTCGTGAAAATCGGCTCAAAACTGACAGACAAAATGGATGCCCTTCGTTCTCAAATAGCGTAAAAATATGGTATATCAAGGTTGTGGACCCTATAGAGGTCACAATTTTTATCCGATTTTGTTGAAACTAGAAATGTAAGTTTATAACCTAAAGATCTCCGATCCTTTCGATATTCGCGTATTTCGGACAGTAACTTTCTGAATTATGGCCCCTGATTGTACGAGAATCACGTTTTTAGCTTGTTACACCTTAAGGACGGCTGAGTTCGAATTTCGTGAAAATCGGCTCAAAACTGACAGACAAAATGGATGCCCTTCGTTCTCAAATAGCGTAAAAATATGGTATATCAAGGTTGTGGACCCTATAGAGGTCACAATTTTTATCCGATTTTGTTGAAACTTGAAATGTAAGTTTATAACCTAAAGATCTCCGATCCTTTCGATATTCGCGTATTTCGGACAGTAACTTTCTGAATTATGGCCCCTGATTGTACGAGAATCACGTTTTTAGCTTGTGGACCCTATAGAGGTCATAATTTTTATCCAATTTCAAAAACTGTTTAAATATATTGCAGTTACACCCTAAGACTGGTTGAATTCAAATTTCGTAAAAATCGGACCAAAACTGACAGACAAAATGGCCGCCCATTGTTATCGAATAGCGTAAAAATAAGGTATATGAATGTTGTGGACTCTCTAGAGGTCACAATTTTCTTCTGATTTTGATGAAACTTGAAATGTAAGTTTATAACCCAAAGATACCGGTTCCTGTAGATATTCGTGCACATTGGACTATAACTTCCTGAATTATGGCCCCTAATTGTACGAAAAATCGCGTTTTTAGGATGTGATCCCTCAAGATGTCACAATTTTTATCCGATTTAAAAAAACGTTTGAATTTATCACTGTTAAACCCTTATGATGGTTGAGTCCGAATTTCGCACAAATCAGACCAAAACTGTCGGACAAAATGGCTGCCCCTCATCCGCAAATATTGTAAATATGGTATATCAAGGTTTTGGACCCTCTAGAGAGAGGACACAATTTTGATCCGATTTTGATGTAACTTGAAATACATGTTTATAACCCAAAGATGTTGGTTCCTTTCAATATTCATGCATATCGGATTGTAACTTCCTGAATTATGGCCCTTGATTGTACGAAAAATCACTTCTTTTTTTGAGCTTGTTCTCTGTCCATCTCTTGCAAAATGTGGGCGTATCTTGCATGGCAACCGCTTGTATATTGCAGTCGCCCCTGTCCGTCGGTCGGTTCGTCCGTCCATCGTCCACAATTTCTTGTGAACGCTCTAATGCCAAAAGTTATCATCCAATTGTTTTAAAATTGATATGTGTTGTTTACATTAGTGAGATGAAGAAGCCTATTTAATTTCCGTTTATTACGTCTAGAGTTATGGCCCTTTTTCACTTTGTTGAACCTTGTGAATGCTCTAATGCCAAAAGTTAATATACGATCTTTGTGAAATTTATATGCATTATTTAGATTAGTGAAATGGAGAAGCCTATTGAATTTTAGCAATTTCCGTTTATTACATCTAGAGTTATGGCCCTTGTTTCACTTTATTGATCCTTATGAATGCTCTAACGCAAAAAGTTAACACCCGATCTTTGAGATTTTTATATGCATGATTTAAATTAGTGAAACGAAAATGGCTATTGAATTTCAGCAATTTACAATAATTACTTCTAGAGTTATTGCCCTTGTTTCACTTTGTTAAACCTTGTTAATGATGAAATGTGATGTTTCATCACCGGACCGGCCTACACATTTGCAGGGGCCGCGTTAATGCTGTAGCCTACCTTGATGATGGCCCGTGGAGGACACACGCGCTACTGACATCTGTCGTTATAACATTTGTATATTACAGCAAACTAATGATGTTATAACTTTTATATATTACATGAGACTAATGATGTTATAACTTTTATATATATCAGTTAACTGATAATGTTATAACTTTTATATTACAGGAAACTAATGAGGTTATAACTTTTTATATTACAGGCAACTAATGATGTACTTGTAGGAGAACTCAAAGAAGATAAGTCTGTTTCAGAATATAGTGAAAAAGGGGGGACAAATTTGATCCAGAACAGTGGAGGAAACCTGTATAGATGTGATATTTGTAGTAAATCATTCACCACCAGTAGTAGTCTACAGAAACATATCAGAATTCACACTAGTGAGAAACCTTATAGATGTGGTGTTTGTAGTAAATCATTCACCACCAGTGGTAGTCTACAGAAACATATCAGAATTCACACTAGTGAGAAACGTTATAAATGTAATGTTTGTAGTAAATCATTCACCACCATTAGTAGTCTACAGAAACATATCAGAATTCACACTAGTGAGAAACCTTATAAATGTAATGTTTGTTGGAAATCATTTTCTACGAGTAGTACTCTACAGACACACATTAGAATTCATACTGGTGAAAAACCCTATAGATGTGATGTTTGTAGTAAGTCATTCACCACCATTAGTAGTCTACAGAGACACAAGAGAATTCGTACAAGAGATAAACCATATAAATGTGATGTTTGTTGTAAATTAGTTAGATTGAAAAGTTATCTAAAAGTGCACATGCGAACTCATACTAAAGAAAAACACTACAACTGTAGTGTTTGTAGTAAATCATTCACCACCATTAGTAGTCTACAGAAACATAGCAGAATTCACACTAGTGACAAACCTTATAAATGTGATGTTTGTAGTAAATCATTTTCTACGAGTAGTAGTCTACAGACACACATAAGAATTCATACTGGTGAAAAACCCTATAAATGTAATGTTTGTAGTAAGTCATTCACCACCATTAGTAGTCTACAGAGACACAAGAGAATTCGTACAAGAGATAAACCATATAAATGTGATGTTTGTTGTAAATTATTTAGATTGAAACGTTATCTAAAAGTGCACATGCGAACTCATACTAAACTGTAGTGTTTGTAGTAAATCGTTCAGTAAAAACAGTGCCCTATTAAAACATATTAAGAGTCATACAGTAGAAAAACTAGTGTGATGTTTGTGGTAAGTCATTTACACGGCATGGAACCCCAACAGACATCTAGTGTGATGTTTGTAGTAAGTCATTCACCCAGTCTGGAACCCAAGTGTGATGTTTGTAGTAAGCCATTCACCCAGTTTAGAACCCTAGTGTGATGTTTGTAGTAAGTCATTCACCCAGTCTGGAACCCAAGTGTGATGTTTGTAGTAAGCCATTCACCCAGTTTAGAACCCTAGTGTGATGTTTGTAGTAAGTCATTCACCCAGTTTAGAACCCAAGTATGATGTTTGCAGTAAGTCATTCACTCAGTTTAGAACCCAAGTGTGATGTTTGTAGTAAGCCATTCACCCAGTTTAGAACCCTAGTGTGATGTTTGTAGTAAGTCATTCACTCAGTTTAAAACCCTAGTGTGATGTTTGTAGTAAGTCATTCACCCAGTTTAGAACCCTATTGTGATGTTTGTAGTAAGTCATTCACCCAGTTTAGAACCCTAGTGTGATGTTTGTAGTAAGTCATTCACCCAGTTTAGAACCCTAGTGTGATGTTTGTAGTAAGTCATTCACTCAGTTTAAAACCCTAGTGTGATGTTTGTAGTAAGTCATTCACCCAGTTTAGAACCCTATTGTGATGTTTGTAGTAAGTCATTCACCCAGTTTAGAACTCAAGTGTGATGTTTGTAGTAAGCCATTCACCCAGTTTAGAACCCTAGTGTGATGTTTGTAGTAAGTCATTCACCCAGTTTAGAACCCTAGTGTGATGTTTGTAGTAAGTCATTCACCCAGTTTAGAACCCTAGTGTGATGTTTGTAGTAAGTCATTCACCCAGTTTAGAACCCTAGTGTGATGTTTGTAGTAAGTCATTCACCCAGTTTAGAACCCTAGTGTGATGTTTGTAGTAAGTCATTCACCCAGTTTAGAACCCTAGTGTGATGTTTGTAGTAAGTCATTCACTCAGTTTAAAACCCTAGTGTGATGTTTGTAGTAAGTCATTCACCCAGTTTAGAACCCTAGTGTGATGTTTAAGTGATAGTCTACACACATAAGAATTAAAATTTGAGAGAAACCTTATAAATGTGATGTTTGTGGTAAATCAGTCAGTCACAGCTGTTTGCTACAGCAACACCAGATATTATAGCAGGGATTGGATGGCTGAATAGTTAGCACGAGCGCGTTGTATCATAAGGTCTTTATTGAGTCAACTGGCGTGGTTTCGATTCCCAGTTGGTCACTGGTACATGACAAGGGGTAGTATAGCTTGTCCAACCTCGTGGGTTTTCTCCAGGTCCTCCGGTTTCCTCCCACTGCTAAAGACCCTACTTTCTGATATAACAACTCTTACTCTCACAACTCTTTGTATCATCCTTATTGTGGGGGCTGTGGAGGGCGTCTCATAATTGTAATATGTATGTAATAATAGTTGTACAGTTATGTATCCACCTGTATTTTGATATATATATACTATTCAAAAAAAGTAGGGGATATTTGATTTTTAAGTGTTATTAAAGTCACCTAATGAAACTGACGAAGAAACAAATGACAAAATGAAATGAAGTTCACATTCATCGATTTATTCCAAATGATCATTAGACTAAGTAAGGCACAGACTGACCATTATAAGGGTAAAATGATACCCGGGGTCAAACAGCAAAGTTACCACAGCATCACAACCAAGTCAGTAACGGGTAAATCCTTCTCTGTTTGCCAAACAAGCATTGATCCGACGTGGCATACTCCTAATGAGACGTCTAAGGTCATTTTGGTCCAGATTGTCCCATTCCTGTTGCAACGCAGCAGCAAGTTCTTGGACATTGGCAGGACGTTGTTGACGTTGACGTAACCTCTGTCCAAGCATGTCCCAGACATGCTCGATGGGGGAGAGGTCGGGACTCAGTGCTGGCCAAGGTAATGTGGTGATGTTCTGTTGTTGGAGGTAACCTGTAACGATCCTGGCCCTGTGACATCTTGCGTTGTCATCCTGGAAGATGAAACGGCGGCCATGACGTCGTGCGAACGGCACAACATGGACTGCCAAGATGTTGTCCCGGTAGTACTGGCCTGTAACACGCCCTGCAACAACATGTAAAGCCGTTCTTCCAGCAACAGTGATGCCTCCCCACACCATAACAGAACCACCCCCAAATCGATCATGTCTGATGACGTTAACGTCTTGGAAGCGCTCGTTTCGACGACGCCACACCCTCCTACGTCTGTCCAAAAAATCAACAGTGAACCTTGACTCATCTGAAAACATCACATTGCTCCAGCGTCGATTATCCCAGTGTTGACGATCCCTACACCAACGACGTCTTGCCTGAATGTGATGATCTCTCAAACAAGGGATCACGCGAGGACGTCGGGCGCGAAGGTGACCCCTATGCAGTCGATTCCAAATCGTCTGGCCACTCACTCTCACACCAGTGTCTGTTTGAAGACGAGCGATGATCTGATTTGCTGTGATGACACGATTTCTCAAGGCCAAGGTACGGATAAATCGATCCTGGGCTTGAGTTGTCGCCCTTGGTCGACCTGAGCGTGGTCTGTCCTGTACAGATTGTGTATCACGGTATCTGGACCATAGCCTGCTTATGACAGACTGAGAAACATTCATCGTCCGCGCCACAACCGCCTGTGTTGTGCCGATCTGTAGCATGCCAAGGGCACGTTACCTTTCATTTTGGGTAAGCCGACGCATATCAAAATTTGTTTTCTGGTCTCTAAAACAATTAAACTGATGTTTCCACCCTGGAATTCAATGCCACAATGACTGTAACATTCAAAGTCAGAGTCGTGCAAATCTTGGGTTGGACCCCCATGATGATCCCAAGCATCACCTGCATTCCATGCGGTAGCTATTGGTGCGTTTGGGCGTCACATGTAACTGGAAATGTTTCTTCTGTTAGGTTCTATAGTGACTTTTTTCGTAGTCATTTGCATATTTTAGTATTATGCCCCCAAAATCAAATATCCCCTACTTTTTTTGAATAGTATATATGTTTATAGTTATGTATGTATGTACTGTACCTTTGTTTTATGGTCGCCTGTCCAACCTTGTGATTTTTCTCCGGGTCCTCTGGTTTCCTTCTACTACTAAAGACCCCTACGTTCAAGCGAATTATGGAAATAAAATTGAACCATATGTTAGTCCCAAAATGACCTAGTTTGTGTCAAGTGGACGTTAAACCCCATTTCTCTGTCTACTCAGTTTTTAGTATATCTATATTGTAAATGATCCAATTACTTACAAAACAATAAATATGTGACAGCCTCTGTGGAGTTTCTGTTTGGATGACTTTGCGGCTGTGGCCTTATGTTTTGTTTCCTGGCAACCTATCTTTGTAATAAATGTTAATTACTGCACCATGTATAAACCAAAATGCACCATTAAATTTCTTGTAAAAAACCCAGTTATTATCAAGATATTTGTATATGCATGTTTACAGTTGTACATGTATGAATTTTAATTATTGTTTAAATAAATGTTCTGTCACAGTTAATATGTTATTAAAATTTTAGATTTTCCTGGATGTGGTGTGGTTAATTCTTCCAGTAGAGCTGCTGATATCAAACAGTGATTAAGCCCCGCCTCCAATAAAGCTGCTGATATTTAGCAATGGTTAAGCCCCGCCTCCAATAAAACTGCTGATTTCAAGCAGTGATTATAATTTTTGTTTAAATAAATGTTCTGTCACAGCTAATATGCTATTAAAATTTTATATTGTCCTTGACATGGTGTGGTTAATTCTTCCGATAAAGATTCTGATATCAAGCAGTGATTAAGCTCCGCCTCCAATAAAGCTGCTGATATCAAGCAGTGATTAAGCCCCGCCTCCAATAAAGCTGCTGATATCAAGCAGTGATTAAGCCCCGCCTCCCCTCCTGTACTTAAACTTCCTTCCCCTGTTTGTCTCAAGTCCACGAGTCAACGTTTGCCCAACAAAGTAAACATGAAAATCTTATTGTATCACACTGAATATTAGTTCTATACCTATATATGTATTGTAAAATGACTTTTACTTTTGAGGAAATCTCCCTGTTGAGTCATATATCAATCAGAATTCTGGATAGAGTTATGTCCCTTCCAGACTTCACCCAAACAAGACCGGATTTTGACACAGACTATAGTTTTAAACTACTTTAAAGAGCACATCAAATGAGCAAACAAAATTATGTATATCCAGTGGCCACTACATACATTTTATTGCAAGTTTACACCAATCGGATTAAAATTATTCAACATATTACCATTTTAAGTGTCAGACACCAGAAACCACTTTCAATACTTCAGATACAGCCTTAAACCGTTTGATTGGCTCGTCATCAGTTCTGTTCAGTATGTAAGGGTGGGCCATAGTGCCGCTGTCCGGGCAAAATTTCTATCATAGCATGCTGTATGGCGTATATATGGCAGGAAATGATTCCTTTTGGCGAACAAAGAATAATTATGGCGAAAAAAGAAGGCATGAGTCCAATATGATTCGGCAATCAGAGAATCAACACTATAGAATCTCTTTCACTGTGGACGAAAATGAAATTGTACTTTTTGTGGGTTATTCGGGTTTTATTGGTCCGCGTCGTTTTATGATATACAACTGATTATAAAATGTTGAACCGGAAACGGAAGACAGTGTCGTGACTTCCGCTCTCTGTTCTGAAGCGGCCATTTTGTGTGTTTTTCAAAGGGCATCCGTTTTCAAAGGCCCGCCTTCACGTAAAGATAAGAATGGTGAGTTGGTTTTGGTATAAAGAATGGAATAGATACAATTTAAGAATATGTAACAGACATTATATATGTATTTTCTAATATATATATTTTTAAACCTATGCTATTCTGGTATCCGTTCCAAAAATCGTGTTGTTTTCTACTTTCATTTTCATGTTTAGATTTCTCTGCACATGGAGCAGCTAGAGTAAAAATTCGGAAAGAAGGCGAAAAGCTAGCCTTTTATTTACGAAAATAACTTCATTTGAAGCCGCAGTTTTGTTCCAATCAACAATAGGACGAGCAAGAAAAGCTGATACGCAAATCATACTGGCGTAGCTGAAGCGTGACTCGCGACGACAATATTACGTCACCGCTTCACTGGCGTACCTAGTTAAAGCTACAATTTCATATTTTTAAGTTATATTTTTAAAATGTATTAAAATAAAGCCCTAAAATAGATGGTATCCAAAAACAGTCCTACCTTGTTAAAGAATAATCCTATTAATCCTATAATTCACTATTGCCAGCTGAGAAATTGGCAAAAATATCATTTTCAACTTCAAATTCAAACGTTTGAACATAGCTATTCCATGGAGGTAATAGGAAAACAAGGGAGGTAATTGTGTTATTATTTCCTGTGTCAATGATTTTTAAGGATGGGAAATAATGCCCATGATCGTATAATAGGGAGTTGGTTGATAACCTATTGAGCAAAAGACATAGATATAATTATGTTTTGACTTTCTTAGAAAATATGAATCTTGTTTTTCTAAATTGATTTTAATTTAGATCTAAATTGTATCTTGTTTTTCTAAATTGATTTTAATTTATATCTAAATTGTATGATTAACTTTGTTTAAAAAAAACCCCATAAAATTGCGAGAATTATTCTTGTAGACGTCAGGAATATGTGACGTCATTGATAATAGGGAGTTGGTTGATAACCTATTGAGCAAAAGACATAGATATAATTATGTTTTGACTTTCTTAGAAAATATGAAACTCTCGCTTTAAATAATCTTGTTTTTCTAAATTGATTTTAATTTAGATCTAAATTGTATGATTAACTTTGTTTTAAAAAAACCCCATAAAATTGCAAGAATTATTCTTGTAGACGTCAGGAATATGTGACGTCATTGATAAAACGCGTCAATAAAAATATTTCCATGAGACGCATAATCTCGCTTTCGCGAGATTTGGTAAGTTAGCATGCGCATTGCCATCTTTCCTAGTGTATCTGTTTCCGGTCTGAATTTTTTTTTAAATCAACAGTCTGTGGTGACAGTTTTAGTTACGCTCCTGTGTTACCGGAAAAGAGCTTTGTTCTATAATATTCTCATAAATAAAAAATGTTACGGTCTTGGCCAAGTTAAAGTGTTGTCATCGTGTATAAACACGGCCCCTTTTTTTAAACTAGTTCTCTGTCCATCTATTGGGGGTTTCAGGTCAAAGTTTTTTAATGATGTTATATCTTTTATATTTTACAGGAAACTGATGATGTTGTAACTTTTATATATTACAGGAAACTAATAATGTTAAAACTTTTATATATTACAGGAAACTAATAATGTTATAATTTTTATACGTTACAGGAAACTAATGATGTTATAACTTTTATATATTACAGGAAACTAATGATGTTATAACTTTTATATATTGCAGGATACTAATGATGTTATAACTTTTATATGTTACAGGAAACTAATGATGTTATAAGTTTTATATATTACAGGAAACTAATGTTGTTATAACATTTATATATTGCAGGCAACTAACGTTATAACTTTAAACTTTTATGTTACAGGCAACTAATGATGTTATGACTTTTATATATTAGGCTGACCTTAAAAATATCTTTGTTTCCCCTAACGTGACTGACTAACTAAAACCACCCCCGACTTAAATTATGTTATTGCACTTTTCCACGATCTTTTTATTTTATTTTGTGTGTCAACAAAAATATCACAAGAGTTATTTCCCTTTACTATGGCTATGGTTGGATTCATTATTGAAACTGGTTGATCAAGACGAAAGCGTCATCGGTGTCACTTCTCAACAAAATGGTTGCAGACGAAAGCACGTCCATTCCCACGAAATGATTCTGCCTCTATGTCTGTGGGGCGTCATTTTAAACATGACGACAATATTTTTAATATCCGTTTACGAGAAAAATGAAGGCACAATCCGCACGATCGTTAAAAACGTATTGAAGGAGTTTCACACTTCAAGTTCATGGCAAATCGTGTGCGAGTCGTGCATCACGAAAAATCCCGATGTCATTGATTTGTTTGCCAATAAAGAAGACGAATGTTTCCACCCGGAAAATTATCAAGCTGTCAAATTAGCTCTTAAGTTTAATAAAAACTAAAAAAAATCTGAAAAAAACCCCGACCTACCGACCCTTCTCCTCGATTGTGGGTCGGGTTTGGTGAAACAAAGATATTTTTAAGGTCAGCCTTACAGGAAACTAATGTATATGATGTTATAACTTTTATATATTGCAGGAAGCTAATGATATTTTAACTTTTATATATATTACAGGAAACTAATGATGTTATAACATTTCATCAATGTGTTGTATGTGATGACATTTTTCAACAACTTGATGCTTTAGAAAAACACAATAAAATACATGTTAAAGAAGAGAAAACTGATGATGTTGATGGATATTGTCATGTTAAAGAAGAGAAAACTGATGATGTAGATGAATATTGTCATGTTAAAGAAGAGAAAACTGACGATGACAATGTTGAAAACGGTTTAGAAGCAGATGAGTTGGTTTCATTTAACGAAAGCCAGTCATTTAAGAAACACATGAGAACTCATATAGGGGGAAAACCTTATAAATGTGATGTTTGTAGTAAATCATTTTCAAAGAGTAGTAATCTAGTGACACATATGAGAATTCATACAAGTGGAAAACCTTATAAATGTAATTTTTGTGGTAAATCATTTAGTGTGAATTGTACTTTAAAACTACACTTGAGGATTCATACAGGGGAAAAAACTCAAAAATGTGATGTTTGTAGTAAATCATTCATTAGTAGTAGTCACATCAAGAGACACATGAGAATTCATACTGGTGAAACACCTTATAAATGTGATGTTTGTGATAAATCTTTTACTATTTATGGTAACTTACAGAGGCATATGAGAACTCATATGGGGGGAAAACCTTTTGAGTGTGGTTTTTGTGGTAAATCGTTCAGTGTGAATGGTAATTTACAGAGACACAGGAGAACTCATACAGGTGAAAAACATTATAAATGTGATGTTTGTAGTAAATCATTTGGCGAAAATCATTTACTTGCACACATTACCACCCATAGTGGAGGAAAACCTTATAAATGTGATGTTTGTGGTAAATCATTTCTTAATGATGGTGGCCTACAAAACCACAAAAGAATTCATACTGAAGAAACACCTTATAAATGTGATGTTTGTGGTAAATCATTTAGTCAAATTGGTCATTTACAGGTTCACGTTAGAACTCATTCTGGTGACAAGCCATATAAATGTGATGTTTGTAGTAAATCATTCACCAGGAATGGTTGTTTGCAAAGACACATGAGAATTCATACATGTGTAAAACCATATAAATGTGATGTTTGTAGTAAATCATTTGGTCGGGCTCATCATTTACAAGATCACATAAAAACTCATACTCAGGCCTGGAAATATCAATGTAATGCTTGTGGTAAACCGTTTAGTGTGAATTGTAATTTAAAGAGACACATGAGAATTCATACAGGGGAAATATCTTATAAATGTTATGTTTGTAATAAATCATTTGGTCAAACTCATCATTTACAGGTACACATAAGAACTCATACTTAGGCCTGGAAATAACGGTTTTAGATGTACATGTACCTGATAAAATGTCAGTCACTAATAAAAGATCACCTGACATTTTCAACTTAATATTAATAATATCAATAAAAAAAAGACAAATCAGTGCCGGACAAAATGACAGGCACCAGAGGTTTAGTGACGGACAAAACCTGAATCTGTGCCTGACATTGTCTATAACAGGTGCCTTATTTGCAGGCTTGCTCATACTGGATAGAAAACCCTATAAATGATGTGATATTTTTTAGTAAATAATTTTATAAAAATAATTGTCTACATGGTAATCTGTACTGGAGAAAATTTTTATAAAAGTGATGTTTGTAATAAATCATCTTGTCACAATCTGGAATACATAAATACGTCACAATACATGTACACTGTGATGTTTGTGATAAATCATCTCATCAAAATCTGGAATACATAAAAACTTACACTTGTGAAAAACCTTATTAATGTGTTTTTTGGGGGCTTGTGTTAGAGATTGAATTATTTCTTAATACAAAATTTATGGAAATACCTTGTTGAATATTGTTGGTCTACCCCATTGAAATGAAATGGGGTTTAACGTCCTACTGTTCCTATAATAAACTGCAAGTTGATTTAATCATTTAAAACATCCAAAGAGAGAGAGAGAAATGGGGTTTAACGTCCACTCGACACAAACTAGGTCATTTTGGGACTAACACATGGTTCAATTTTATTTCAATAATTTGCTTGTGCGTAGGGGTCTTTTAGCGGTGGGAGGAAACCGGAGGACCCGGAGAAAAACCACGAGGTTGGACAGGCGACCCTACTCCTTGTCACGTAGAACCGGGGAATCAAAACCAGCCTTGTATCTTTGTTGTATTATTTTCAATCAAACAGCTTCACATAAAGATACATTGCTATAAGTTATGGTGAGTATATTTGGATATAAATTTTATAAAAGCAATATTCGGAACAGTCTCTTGTCTTTCCAGCAATATAAATACAAATAACGCTCTAACCCTATCACTGGTCTACACCTACTGTCTGTTCCAGGTAACACTCTAACCCTGTCACTGGTCTACACCTAGGTTGGAGTCCTTGTCTTTAAATCACAAAATACGAAGTGGAAATAGTCTTGGATTATTTAATCTGTAATCAACGGTACAAAGCCAGAGGGGTCAAAACCAAAAGTACGACACAGATGTCAGTAGCGCGTGTGTCCTCCACGGGCTCTTACGCACGCTGTGCAGCGACGTCGCATGGAATTTACCAATGTTTGAAAGAAGGCCTGGGGCATATTGTTCCATTCTTGGACAAGAGCAGCTTCTAAAGCAGCAATGGTGTGCATCTGTGGTCTCCGATACAGACGGCGTCCAATCTCATCCCAGACATGTTCTATCGGTGCCATGTCCGGAGACATGGCTGGCCAGTCCAAGACATTGATGTTGTTAGCAGCCAGGTAGTCCATACTAAAACGGGCAGTATGCGGACGTGCATTATCCTGTTGGAAGTGCTGAAGTTGTGGGTGCGCTTGAAACATCGGAACAACAATTGGTTGCAAGACATCATCACGGTAGGCTACAGCATTAACGCGACCCCTGCAAATGTGTAGGGCGGTCCGGTGATGAAATGTGAAGCCTCCCCACACCATTACACTTCCCCCACCCCATCGATTCGTTTCGAAGACGCAGCAGTCTGCAAAACATTCCCCAAGACGTCTCCACAGCGTGATAAAGATGAAAGCGACTCTCATCACTGAAGAGCACACTTTGCCAGTCTACTCTTCTCCATGTCTGGTGTCCTTGGGCCCATCACTGACGGTGATGATCCCTGAGGATAGCTCCAACATAAGGTTGTTGTGCACGGAGTCCTACTTCTCTTAGACGACGTCTTACGGTGTTGGCACTTACTGGTCCTTGTCTTCCCACGACAGCTGCACCTGTTCGTGGCACTGGGCGGAATCTGACACGCAGATGAGTGACCCGGATGTAGCGGTCTTGAGTCTGGGTTGTAACGCATTGTGGACCAGGACGTTGACGGTCACGTGTTGATCCAGTAACTCGAACACGTTCCACCAACCTTACAATAGTGGACTGATGACAATTGAAGTGTCTGGCAATAGCACGTGTAGACATGCCAGCCCTGGACATTCCCCTAAGCTGGGAGATTTTCTATTAAATAATCAACCAGAGTGGATTAATCTGTGAGGATTTTCATATTCTCCGACAAATTACAAAACTAGCATCGTTACATTAATTGTGAATAATTCGTTTTGGGTAAATCCAAATCCCTTTTCAATATACAACCATCATTCAGTACTTCCGGAAAGGAAGGGAAAACTTCTAACAAAGGAACGATAGACTATTGTTTAATCCGACGTTCTCTAGACTCGCAAGTTCAGAACCAAATCAGACAATTTTTATCTTGTTTTTTTTTCTTTTTTTCAAGTCTAATGTTTGAATCAAATTTGTTGCTAACAATAGCCTTATAATGGTGAGTTGATTTTGCTATAAAATTCCGGGCGACCATGTTTGATTCGACTCCCTTTTACATTCCATCACTTTTACATTTGTTCCTATTTTCTATTAGCGTCAGGGTTAGGGTCAGGTATTTACCATCGAAGAGCTTATTTTCTTTTCACTTATCTACTTGTTATTTACTTTCTGTGGTTCCACAACAATGAAATATTGAGACACAAAAATTGTAGTCACATCAAACATGATTGCCAAATTCCATAGGGGATGGAAGACAAACAACCAGCGTCACATGATTTGCTGATTTGCATATCAACAAAGACGTCTTTGCAGTAAATACTACTGTGGTTTGAAAAAGAATATTTAAAGGCGCCAAGTCTCTAACTTTATATTTTCCATAATATTTGAAATTAAAAACACAAATTAGAATTCAATATTGATTAATTTCAATCAATATTGATGTTTTTATATTTGCCGTGAAACCATAGGATCCAAATATCAAATATTTAAGATACAATTAATTAAAATTTTATAATCAGTATTCAGTACACAGAGTCGGGAGCTTGGTGGATGACCGAATGGTTAGTTCGTATGTTGTATCGTAGGAGCAGAACAGTTAAACCCCATTTCATTCTTTTCATGTCTTTCCAGGGAAATATTGGGAACCTACTTGACCAACGCTAATAATGTTATAAATTTCATATATTACAGGAAACTAATGATGTTATAACTTTTATATATGACAGGAAACTAATGATGTTATAACTTTTATATATTACAGGATACTAATGATATTATAACTTTTATATATTATAAGAAACTAATGATGTTATAACTTTTATATATTACAGGGAACTAATGATGTTAAAACTTTTATATATTACAGGAAACCACTGATGTTATAACTTTCATATATTACAGGAAATTAATGTTGTACTTGTGAGGGAACTCGAAGAAGTGAAATCTGTTTTAGAACATGGTAAAAAATGGGAGACAAGTTTCAAGAAGAACAGGGAAGGAAAACCATATCAATGTGATGTTTGTAATAAATCATTTATTACGAATAGTCATCTGAAGAGACACATGAGAATTCATACAGACAAAAAACCTTATAAATGTGATGTTTGTAGTAAATCATTTACTGAACGAGGTAGTCTAAGGAAACACATGAGAATTCATACGGGTGAAAAACCCTATAAATGTGATGTTTGTAGTAAATCATTCATTAGTAGTAGTCACATCAAGAGACACATGAGAATTCATACAGGTGAAACACCTTATAAATGTGATGTTTGTGGTAAATCATTCACCCAGGGTAGTAATCTACAACAACACATGAGAATTCATACCGGTGAAAAACCTTATAATTGTGATGTTTGTAGTAAATCATTCACCTATAGCCAACATATGAAGGAACACCTCAGAATTCATACTGGTGAAAAGACTCATAAATGTGATGTTTGTAGTAAATCATTTAGCCAGAGTAGTACTCTACAATCACACATGAGAACTCATTCCGGAAAAAAGCCTTATAAATGTGATGTTTGTGGTAAATCATTTCTTAATGATGGTGGCCTACAAAACCACAAAAGAATTCATACTGAAGAAACACCTTATAAATGTGATGTTTGTGATAAATCATTCAAAAAGACGCATCTTCTGCAGATACACTTAAAAATTCATACTGGTGAAAAACCTTATAAATGTGATGTTTGTAGTAAATCATTCAACACTAAAAGTAATCTACAGCGACACTTGAGAATTCATGATGGTGAAAAAGCCTTATAAATGTGATGTTTGTATGAAATCATTCACAGAGAATCATCACCTGCAGAAACATTTGAGAATTCACACTGTAAAAACTAAAACAAAATCAAAAAGTTAGTATTTGTCCTTTTAAATGTGGTATAAGTTATTGTAGTAGTTTATGGTACAAGATTATATGATACATGTTGTAAACATCTGTAGTTAATATGGTAGCATATAATCTTGTACCATAAACTACTACAATAACTTATACCACAAATACTAACATACTGTAGACATGTGATACAATGATATTTGTGTATGCTATATTCATCTGTAGTTAAAGTGAGAATTTCAAATTTTCTAAGAAAGTCAAAACATAATTATTTCTGTCTTTTGCTCAATAGGTTATCAACTCACTATTATACGATCATGGGTATTATTTCCCACCATTAAAAATCTATGACACAGGAAATAACACAATTACCTCCCCTGTTTTGCTATTGACAACATGGGGCAGCCATTTTCCAACGTTGGAATTTGAAGTTAAAAATGATATTTTTGCCAATTTCTCAGCTGGCAATAGCAAATTATAGGATTAATAGGATTATTCTTTAACAAGGTAGGACTGTTTATGGATACCATCTATTTTAAGGCTTTATTTTAATACATTTTAAAAATATAACTTGAAAATTTGAAATTGCAACTTTAATATGGTACAAGATTATTTGATATATGCTGTAGCCATCTGTGTAGTAATTCAGGCAAATTACTGTAGTAATTATCCAATAAAAACATTGAGTGCGATTGGTTTTAATTATCTTATCTACAATGTAAAGCGCCACAGAGCAGCCAGACTGACTGAATGTTCAGACATTAGAAAGCGATTATTATTATTATTATTAATTGCTTGCTATTAGCATTATTTATTACTTTACCTAGATTTTTGAGTAGGCAGCCATAGCGCCGCTGTTCTGGCAAAATTTCCCTGATTCCACACTGTCAATCTGATTCACATCATGGAAGAGTTGTTATGTAAGCCGCGTTCTGAATGATGTGAGGGATTAGCAAATGAAACTGTCTGTTACGGCGAGTTTGTGGCGTGAGGTGCACAGAACTGTGGGTAACCCTCTAGAAACATCAATGCTGATTGCTTAATCAAATGTCTCACATCAAAAGCCGCGCGTATGACCCCTGACGTGACCTATGATGTTAAATATGTCACACGTCATTTCATTTCACAATATTGTGGGGGTTGGATGGCCGAATGGTCAGCACATGGGCGTTGTATCATAAAGTCTGTCATTGAGTGAACTGGCAGGGTTCCGATTCCCCGGTTGTTCGTGGCAAGGAGTAGGGTCGCATGTCCAACCTCGTGGGATTTTTCCAGGTTCTCTGGTTTCCTCCCACTGCTAAAGACCCCTACGCGCAAGCAAATTATTGAAATAAAATTGAGCCATGTGTTAGTCCTGAAATGACCTAGTTTGTGTCAAGTGGACGTTATTAAACCCCATTTCTCTCTCTCTCTCTCTATTTCACAATATTGTTGCTGGACCTTTTTTTCTGTGCAGATAACATGGATATACTGACAATAATAATATGAGTATTTGTATAGCACCAATTCCACACCATTCTCGGTAACCCCACTGGTCTGCTTCCGTTCTACTCCACTAACCCCTGGTGGAGGTACATATTCAAATTACCTGCCCTTGATAAATGTGCTATTTACATCGACCAATCAAAAAAATTGTTAAATACAAATGAAGCTGGCGAAGGGAAGGTAACAAACAAGCCGCCATATTGATGTGAACATAAACAATGAGGCTAAGACTGGCTTTTAAACTGTTTTTTGATTGGCTCATAGAATCAAGCTATGATCAAGGGCAGGTAATTTGAAAATGTGTCTTCCCCATGGATAAATCAAGGGTATAGTGGAGTGGAATGGAATGAGACCACTGGTGATGATTCCACACTTATCCAGATATCATTAATATATTTAAAGTACACTCTATGTGCTTTCTACACATAATTTTAAATTAAATATAACATTTAAATATTTCAAATAAGTTTGGATCTAAACCACTCAATAAAAGTAGCTCTTTTGGTGAACACTTTAAAATCTTTACATTTTGGAAATATCACACAGTTTTCTGTCATCTGCATAGAGGTGATGGATTACATAGAATTACATATAATTGGACCAAGAACGCATCCCTGGGGAACACCAGATGACAACAAAACCTACTTTGTGCAATGAAATGAATTGTATGTGACCTGTGGGATATGAGGCGAACCACAATAACACACAACCATCCAACTCTTAGAGAGTGTCAAATGCAGGCTGAAAAACTTGACGCCCGCATAAATGCATTTTCCGCCAAATCCAGTCTGTGGTCCAAAATATAGCCTCAATATGGTCCAATATAGAATTCCAAACAACCAATAAATTGATATGTCCATGAAGACGGTTTTTGTGCTGTACGGGGAACTGCTATTCTATCCTGTGAATTAAAGAACTTCAAAGTCGTCCAACCTAAATCCCACTCTGTGTCGACCATCCAATCACACTGTGGCTGCTACATCACAAATAATAATCGATGCACGAAAAATGTCTCATGAAATTCCAGACCAAATGTCTTAATCAGTAAAAATTTGCAGTAAACAGTTTTATTAGATTTCAGACACTATTTTGCCAACTGAATGATATATTGATTTTTTTCCCTTTACCCATCAACCCAAACAGTCCGAACGCCACTCACAATGAAGTAATTTGACTGAAATTTTCACTATATTCCCTTTCTATTATCTAGTTTTTAACGATTATAGTTAGAACTGTCAGCTCTGTATCTTTCTATTATCTAGTTTTTAACAATTATAGTGAGAACTGTCAGCTCTGTATCTTTCTATTATCTAGTTTTTAACGATTATAGTGAAAACTGTCAGCTCTGTATCTAAATCTCCCATAATGTATCTGTAATCAGTTTGCTCACTTAAAAATGAAACTACTTTTTGTCATTCGTAGACGAAATGGTCTAATAATATGACTGGTCTTTCTTCTAAATTATGAATTATCGTGTTGGGTAGATCCACAGCTTCCTGCAATATACAACTAATTCTAAATTGTTCCAGAAATGAACAGGGTATAGTGAAGAAAGGCTGTTTTCTTGAATACCCAATCTGGTTAAAACACAGATCCTATTTCGTTTTGTTTTACTTGTCTTTACTACACTTGGATCTGGAAGACTTGTTATTTAACTCGTGTCTGCTTGAAATGAGGGGTCAGCCAATCAAATGGTCTGTCGAATCGAGTGTTTGACGTTTTTTGCCCGGAACTGTGGGTAATCCACTAGTAACATCAATGCTGATTGGTTAATCAAATGTCTGACATCATAGGTCAAAAGTCGGTCTTTTGACCCCTGAAGTGACCTATCGCTATAACTTGTCAGATCTTCATGTATAGTGTAGGCCATCGAAAGTATAAAAAAACGAAACGAAATATAGATCTGTATTTTAATTAGATTGTTGAATACCTGACAACTCATCCCAGATAACTCATTCCAATAAAAGACAACTCATCCCAAGTTAGAAGACAGCTCATAGACAACTCATCCCAACTTATAAGACAACTCATCCCAACTTTAAAAAACCCAATCATTCCACATTACAAATAAATATATTTATTAAATCATTAATATTAGAATTTATTACATCAACAATTTATATAAGAATTTATTACATCAACAATTTATAAAAATAATAATGTTAAATTATTTATTATATCAACAATTTATTAAATAATACATTTTATTATTTATTACATCAACAATTTATTAAATGATACATTTTATTATATCATGATCAACTAATACATTTTTATAAATCTGTTGGATCTGCTGGTCTCTCTTTTTGCTGGAACCGATTGCAGTATCGAAGTAGGTTTGAATAATTGGACCTGGATGCCTCTGGCTCTCTGTTATCCACATGTTCAGATAAGATATTATCAACAATATTTTGTGTGGTTTAGTAAGTATTAATGTCTAATTCAAAAATTGTGAAAACCAGAGAAGGTCCTGTATTATTATCTTGGTACAAGAATCTAGCCTTGTGGAACACCCAATTGAACTGGTATAGGATCTGAATGAAAAACATTAATTGGAAAGCGCCCAATAAATGCTCCATCCCACAGTGTTTATACCCCTGGAGGAGAGGTAATTTGTAGAAGATACAACTCCAGGCGGGGATGCAGCCTTTCGGGGTGTATGTTCAGGCATGTGTGTTTTATACCCGGGTGTTTTCAGTCTCACTCCACCGCTACACATGCACCGGCTCGTCCAGGGGCCGGTAATAATAACAACGCATCGCCAAAAAACTACGAAGAGGGGCTGTGCGGACAAGTGGCATCCATACTGCATTACAGGTGTGGGAGGCTTACCTTCAGGACGATACAGACAAGGACTTTTTATTGACGGGTATCTCCCACGGCGTTGACATTATTGACAAAGATGCCACTCCACAGCTCGTCGAAAATGACAACCACACATCCACAAATATGTGTAGCCCACTGTTTGATTTAGCTACAGATGCCATAGGAAAAGAAATAGACAATGAAAACTATGCTATAGCCGACACCAAACCCACCATAGTGAGTCCGATCGGGGTTATCCCCAAATCCGAGGGCGATGTATGTATTATATACTCTTGTACCATATAACTTAAAACAGACATTTATTTACATCTTGTAGTATTTATATACAGACGACTACAGCATGTATCATATTAACTACTACACAGATGGCTACTGCATGTATCATATAATTTAACTATAACACAGATGGCTACAGCATGGTTGAGTAGAGTACAGTACGGCCGTCACGATGGTTTGACGGGACACGATATTACTGTGTTTTTTATTGTGGAATTCCGTGATTTACCGAGTGAACACCGAGCGAATATCGAGTGACACGATAGCACTGCCTCGGTGTTGGAAACACGGTGTGACTCTGTGTTTTAATTAAACCATGCCTCTGATCGTTTATTTTAGGTGAAGTACATGTAGAGCTATACATTGTTATTATAGATCACTTAATGTGTTGGTAGCTACGTGTGAAGATTGGCGTACGCGTTTCTTTGATCTGTTATATCATGGACAGTATATAGGGTTATATCACAGGGTAATTCTGTTATTTAAACCCGGGCATTGTCATCTTTTAAACAGAAATATGCCTATACCGATACATTATTACTTCATTAATATGTTCGACATTTGTAAGACTTGCATCGATGGACCATTACAAATTCAATCAAATTACTGAAAAATTATAACATGACACCAATATATGCTAGTCTTACCGGGGGCATAGATTTATCCATCTAAATAGTAATTCACATACTGATAAATAGTTCTGGTTTAAATCACAAATGAATTAAAAGCCTTTGTCTCCTGATATGTAATCACACAGTCAGAATTTATCGTCAACAAGTTTATGGAACTTTGCTGAATACATGTACATTGACACGTAATAGTCCGATAATACCTTGCTGACGTTTTCATTTCGGCACCATCGAGTCTGGTGGATGCATACTGTCAATCAAGGTTCCACGATGAGAACTGACACGTGACATGAAAGGAAATCGACTGACAGAACATAGACGCCCCTTTAACAACAAACTATTACCTTGTTGTAGTCTTGTGGTCATGGACAATATGACTTTTATTGTTAATTGTCAATAGTAATAATTACACATTTTCAAAAGACATGTCGATTTCTTTTTGATTATACATGTAGCTTCAGTCCATTCCATAACCTGTATTTATTACTCAAATGGTTTCTTAATTAGCAGAATGTCAAAATAAAGAAAACAAAGTTACACTTAAAATATGACTACGGTAACCAAGAAGTTATTCGTCGCGATTTCACGGGGTTGTTAGGATTCGACCTGACATCCACCCAATCCGCTACATGTAATACCAATTTGTAACGAGTAATTGTGATTACTCTGTTACGGTAAAACTCGTATTTTTTTTTTTAAATCGGTACAGACTTAAGGTTCACGCATGCAGAGCGGCCTATGAACAAAATGATGTTTAGTCATTTGCAGTTGACATATTCTGCCTTACACCGGTGGTAATCATTTCATTATATTGTGCACAAACGTCATTCCTTAAATGCTTTCTAGATTAATTAATTTTATAACTATTGAAGAGGACCAGTTGGTTGTTTATATTGTTTTATTTACCTAACGATCAACTAGCTTGACTGGCCGTCACGACAGAGATTAGTTCAAGTTCAAGTTCTTTATTCCTTTAAGTCAAAGACTCATCAGGTATAACATACAGTACAAACAAATAAATAAATACAATTACAATATGTACAAACACAATATCAAACACATATATAGTTCACCGATGTTTTTGTAATAAAGAACAATAGTATTGTTTGTTGATTACCGTTATGATTTTAGACAAAATGATAAGTTCACCAATGTTTTTGTAATAAAGTAGACCCGTATTGTTTGCTGATTGACTTTATCCCATGATTTAAAAAATTGGCGATGGTTAATATTGGGTCAACAATAATTCCTTAAATTGCGCCGGAGCCCCTTTTACATAAACGGAATTCACATTTTATAAGACGGCAATTATTCGTACATGTATGTAGGGCCAAAAGGTCATTTCTTAAATAGTACGAACCTCCTTTTAACACTCCCTTTAACAAGATAAATTGGAATGATGTGTTTCGGCATGATAAATAATGTTAAAACTAATCGTTAATCTATTTTCCGTACATGAAACTAAAGAACTCCAAATATAAGGAAACATTGTCGTGAATTTATCAGTTAGATTTTCGGCTGATATCTTTTACCGCTTACATAATGTACATTATTAAAAATTTACGCAATATGTAAAAAGTATTTACCTTACCTTATACTCATATTGTAGATGTTAAATATCGTTAATAATTATCACAGACAAATATAAAAATAATACCAATCCAAATTAATATCCTTTTGCATATAAACTTGCATATATAATCAACTTGGAATACCAAAATTTAAATCGTAACGCATTGTGGTATAAACGGTATCATTAATTATAAAATAACCCATAAGTCAATGGACCTGTTGTAAGGTGAACACTGCATGGTTTCTGGCAACTTTGGGTCTTTGCGGCATAATGTAGTCTTAACCAATAAAAACAACAAAGTGGCTACGTGCGATTTTATTCTTTGATCTTTGATCAAAGGGACATTTCTGTTATTCAAACCAATCTGCACGAGAATGACAACATACAAGTTGACAGTTATCATTGATTTGGGGTTCATGTGGAATAGATTCTTCCATCGAAATACAGTTATTCTTTTCTAAAATAAAACAAGTGCCTTGGATTTTTGCGTGGATTTGATAGCGGTTATAATTAACTAATATTCTCTTACATCGGAGACTTGTGTCGCGTTCATTTCATTTTTAAGGTAAGTACGAACTTATGTCTGATTTGAAAGTGCTTTCGAATCCCGTTGCAAGTTCTATATGTCTTATTTCTATTTGTAAGACCGATAACCAAATTACCTTTATAGTTTGCAATTTAAAAGTACATACAGTAAATATGCAAAACAATTTGAACACAGCATAAATATCTAAACTGTGTAATACATGTATAGTCTTATGCATAAGTGTCCTTCAAAGTGTACTAGACATGCAGCTTTACATGACTGTTTGAAAAATTAACCGCATATATCGTGCAGAATATGTGAACACGCATGTTCTCACTATACAACGTGACCTAATGCGTCCGTATTATTAACGAAAATATTCAACATTCATAACATCGTGGCTGTATATCGTTTTGACATCGATTGTTTATGACAAATAAATACCGTTAATTTTGCATGTAAAATTACACCGAGGCTTATTGTGTCACACGACTATCGTGGCACACGATAGCGACTGCTACACCGAGTTATTTATCGTGGCAATTTTCAACAAAAAACGACACGATAATCGTGTTTCATCAAAGCGTCGCGGCGGGCGTACTGTATGTATCATATAATCTTGTACCACATTAACCACTACAATAACTTATTCATAAACTTAAAACCTTTGAAATTTCAAATTCTAACTTCCTGATTTTATATTACTTTTTACAATTTCATTACGGTTTATCTTCAGTATGAATTTGAAGGTGTGTTTGTAGACTACTACGCGGAATAAATGATTTGCCACAATGCTGACCAGTATGAATCCTGGCGTGTTTTTGTAGAGTACTACTTTCCGTGAATGATTTACTACAAACATCACAATGATAAGGTTTTTCACCAGTATGAATTCTAATGTGGGAACGTAGATTAATATTCTGTGTAAATGATTTACTACAAACATCACATTTATAAGGTTTATCACCAGTATGAATCCTGGTGTGTTTTTGAAGAGTACTGCTTTCAGTAAATGATTTACTACAAACATCACATTTATAAGGCTTTTCACCAGTATGAATTCTGATATGGCTCTGTAGTTGATTACTATCCGTAAATGATTTACCACAAACATCACATTTATAAGGTTTTATCCCAGTATGTATTCTCATGTGCTTCTGTAGATTACCAATAGCAGAAAATGTTTTACTACAAACATCACATTTATAAGGTTTTTCACCAGTATGAATTCTGATATGTCTCTTTAGTTGACTACTGCTAGTGAATGATTTACTACAAACATCACATTTATAAGGCTTGTCACCAGTATGAATTCTAATGTGTGTTTGTAGACCACTATTTTCGGTGAATGATTTACTACAAACATCACATTTATAAGGTTTTTCACCTGTATGAGTTCTGATGTGTGACTGTAGACGGCTATTTTTAGAAAATGATTTACTACAAACATAACAATTATACGGTTTTTCTATAGTATGAATTCTCCTGTGTTGTTGTAGACAATTATTCGTACTAAAAGACATATTACATATATCACATTTACCATGTTGTAAAACAGAATCCTCTTCACTAACATGTATTTCACAGTGTTTTTCTAAATCAGTGTAAGATTTAAATTCTTCATCACATAAATTACACTGATAAACAGTTTCAATATCTTCAGTTTTCTCTCCTTTAACATGACAATATTCATCCACATCATCAGTTTTCTCTTCTTTAACATGTATTTTACTGTGTTTTTCTAAATCATCATATTCTAGAAAAATCTCATTACATATAACACACTGATGAAATGTTTTAACTTCATTAGTTTCCTGTAATATTTAAAATAAGAACAAATTGAACATTATGGATATTTTAGAAAATCAAAATACAATGAATTTTGCAACAGATTCACACAAATTTGAAATAAATCTGTTTAAAATGGTAGACTATATCGCATTCAGAAGGTTTTCCGTGAAGTGGTTTTAACTTCAGAATGGAAAGGTTGCGGGGTGCTTAATATCCATAGTGTTTGTCCTCTCATGAAACCAATGTTTTATACCAATTTGAAAAGATCCGTTAAAAATCTGTGGCCTCTTTCATATTCACAAAGTGTTTTGCTAAAGGGGTATAACTCATGGACCCCTGGGTTGCTGAACAATTTCCAAGCAGTTTTATATGTACATGTAGATGGTATACACTTCAACTATTTTAGCCTAGTTGAGGGGGCGTGGCATTTAGGCCGTGTCTGTTAGGGGTACATCACCACACAAATCGCCTGGCATTGATCATTCTTGCCTCCTGTGGTGTTCCTGAACAACTTCCAAGCAGTTTTAGGTGGTACAGATTTCAGTAAATCTACCCTAGCCTAGCTGTGGTCTGACAATTACATAACTAGAAATGTCAGTCAGAGTGTTTTTGTAATACTTGAATGTACATCAAGAATTCATGTCCCGAATCACAGCCCTCAACGCCACAACCACCACCACCACCAGATACATTCTGATGATACCAGATATGCAATACAAAGATACCGTATAGGTGAAAATTGGTACACTTTTCAGCTGACCCCCCCCCCCACCAGACTTCCGCTCTAGAAAAGCCTTATTTTCATATTGTAGCGTAATAGGGACTAGTTCAGCCCTGAACATAGTTCTCATTACACTCGCTCTGTACGTTCAGGGATCGCTTACCTCGCTAGAACCAGTATGTGCGACACATATGCGTTAAAAATATGTCTCCTTCTACTAAACGGCTTAGTGGCAGAAGCCATTAAAATCTAAATATAGGGTAACGCACAAATTTACGTTCTGGACCATATATGACGAAACAAATTTAGGTAAGCAGGGGGACAAAATTGAAATCTTTAAAGTATTTTTAACAGCATGTTGTGTCGCACATACTGGTTCTAGCGAGGTAAGTAAGGTCTTATTTTCTCACTAAAATTTGGGGTTTCAGCTCACATGACTTTAACATGAAATCTGACAGACAGCGGCTAAAATACAGCCCACTTCAATCTACGATTATTAATTACTATTTTACTTATATGTATTACTAGCAATTGTATTGTGATAGCTTAGTATTAATCTCAATGTCTGCAAAGATTCAAGCTAAAAAATTATTGTAATGTAAGCAAAATCATCGTTTATGTACAGGAGACGCTAGCGGGAAAATAGCACCCTGGCGTCACGTGGCCGGGAATTTTCCATCAACGCGAATTGTTAACAACCCACTTTATTGGTGAATCCACACTTTAGTTTCCGGGGGGATTTCAACATAGAGCCAATCAAACAATAAATAATATTTTTGTGATTATTATATTGCGTGATACCCCGAGATAGGACAATTATCGCCGTAGAAAATGAGATTTATCTCATTTGCTGACTGAAATTTTCTAAATTTTGACTAAATATATCCTACATTTTTTGTGGTATCATCCAGATTATAAATATTTGACATATCATCATTCAAATTATTACGATTTTAATAAATCTTAGTTGACTATAACATGCTGATTTCAGTTTTGAAATTGGTACTGGCGATTCTGAAGGGAAAATACCGCTTATGATGTCGCTCAGACATGATTGAAAAGTACTTATTTTGGTGCCATGCAACGCATTGACTGAAATAGAGCATTTTGATTACGTTATTGACGTCGATCTCAGATTTTTTGAATTCCATAACTTAATTAGAATATTTTGATGAAATAAAAAATTTTGGGTAGCATATTATGTATATTTTCACAAAATATTTTCTAAAAAATTTTTTCTGTCTTTTAAAACTTTGATCTGAAACCATTACTAAAATGCATAGGCGTACGAGCCAGGGGGGCAGCTGCCCCCCTAACTTTCAGGCAAGCTGACTTTTCGGGCAGACGGGTAAAGTGAACAAAAATTTTTATTTCATCTATTTGGCAAAATAAAGTTCCCGAAATCTAATAAAACACTAATTTTACGGGCTGGAATAGCAGTAAAACACATTTGCGACCGTCAAATATTCCAAAAATTTTGGAGGGGTCCATACAAGGTCAGCTCCGCTTCTTCGCCTCTCGAAGAAAACAGGCGCCACTGTCTGTAAACCTGAAATTATTTCGGGCATTTCTAGTTTTGCTTACTGTCATCGATCCCTAATAAAACACTAATTTTACTTTTCTTATAAATGAATACAACGAATTTGTACTGAGTTGACTATGGATTAAAACATTTTGTCTAGAGCCACTCTTCTTTGTGCGACATTTTTCTGGCATCGATTATTATTTGTGAATGCAATTGCAACAGTCTGATTGGATGGTTGGAATTCAGAATGGGATTTTGGTTACAAAATCATTGGATACTTTTGGAGCTGCTTACACGGGCTAGAATAGCAGAAAACGCATTTGCGGTGGTTAAATTTTCAAAATTTAATTTTCATTCTGGAGGGTGAGGCCCCCATACCCCGAGACGATTGATTGGTTGTTTGGAATTCGGGTCAGCCAGGTAGGCTATATTGGACCGAATCGAAGTTGCTGTATTCACAGGCTGGAATAACAGGAAAACGCGTTTGAGGCAGTTAAATTTTCTCCCAACGGTTGATCTTTTGATTGGAATTCGAGTCAGCCATTGTAATTAGGCAATATTAGACCACATTGAAGATGCTTGTTCACGGGCTGAAATAGCAGGAAAACGTGTTTGCAGCCGTCAAATATTCCAAAATTGTCTTGGGGGGGGGGGGGCATACAAGGTAAGCTCCGCTTCTTCGCCTCTTGAGGAAGACCGGCACCGAAATTTTTTCGGGCATTTCGGGTTGTGCCCCCCTAACTGTCATCGAGCCTGTACGCCTATGCTAAAATGTTCCTTTACATTGTTCAGGTGTTCACAGAGACTGACGCATGACTGCTTAGCAGTAAAAAGTTGCCAAAAAAATTGACTTTTTCGACAAGGATTTAACAGAGCGGTACCTGAACTTATAGGTAGATATACAAAAGCTTTTTTAAATTTTTGAATCTGACTAAAATTGAATATTTACTAGTTTTCTAACAAATCAATTAAGAATTAAGAATGTTATTGCACTTTTATGACCCAAAATTGATCGATGTCAGTATACACTTATTTTTTGAAATTTGCAAAAAGTGACCAAAGACAATTTCTCAGCAACCATTCAAGATATAGGCATCAAATTTTCAGGAAACATCCATTAACTATTTATTGGAATTTCTAAATTTGGGCTATATAATTTATTTCCTTTGATATAGGGGTCTTTCGAAACTGAACTAAATAGGGACAGACAGGAAAGGATAGACGACAGAGTCTGATAACAAACCGTTACTAAAGGAACTACTTTTCAGTATGCAAAGAAAACATTAGATGAAGAATGGTGTCCTGGTCAATGAAGTGTGATATCGCCTACAACTTACCATTATGAGACGAGATGTGTGACAGCATTAAAGAAAACCCGCCTTCCTTCGCTATCCCACGTTCACTTCCGAAAAAACATGGAGATAGTTGTATACGGACAAAAGATGTGGATCTATCCCACACGAATAACTCATAATTTTTCACCCACTTTTTATGTATTTTGCACCCTTTTTTATGTAAAGTATATTTCAAGCATAATGTATAAGCCATACAGTATGCTATGGGGGACATTTTGCCCAGGCAGCAGCACTATGGCCTACTCTTATATCAAATTCCAAATGCCAAGGGATCTGTTTACGTACATGCCAATATGTACATGGGGCCTTTTTCTTCTGTCCCATCCACAGGCTATGCATTGTCCCTTGCAAGGCTCTCTGTCCTGCACCACTGACAGGGAGGAATTGTTATTATGACACAATAAATACAGTTAAATGTCGCTTAAAAATATATTTCTAAAAATTGTAACAGGCTATCCTAGGCAAACAAAATAATATGTCAAACATTAACTGGCAAAATTTTTCACCAATGGATTTGACTAATTTCATTTTCTAATCCAGTGTCCCAAATATGAACAACTGCAATACTATCCACCCTTATCTTGTCCATTAACTTTTGAACTTGTGAAGCTATCAACTGAAGTCACCAGGGGAGAGCCACCAAGTACCTACAACTAACCCCAACACAGATACATGCCAATTTGATCTTCACTTTAGGGGATGATGCCCTTTCCTTTTCTAAAGTAAAGAGGGGGTGGGGGTGGATGGCCAAAGGGTTACCACGGGCGTGCTGTTTCATAAGGTCTGTCACTAAGTCAATTGGCATGGTTTCGAATCCCCAGTTGTACGTGACAAGGAGTAGGGTCGCCTGTCCAACCTCATGGGTTTTCTCCTGGTTCTCCGGTTTCTTCTCACTGCTAAAGACCCCTCCACGCAAGCGAATTGTTGAAATAAAATTGAACCGTATGTTAGTCCCAACATGTCTTAGTTTTTGTCGAGTGGATGTTAAACCCCATTTCTCTCTCCCTCCCTCCCTCTACCTCTCTTCCTCTTACCCGAGGTGTATGGAGGATTGACCACTTGACATATTGCCAGTATTCTGTGCATCTCTCATGAGAGAGTTAAGCATATTATCGCGGAGTTAAGAAGAGCAAAATAGTTACTGCAAGATGGGTGCCAAAGGTCTTGACTGTGGATCATGTTCTTAATTCAAGATACATTATGGGAGATTAGATCAAGAGCTGGCAGTTCTCACTATAATAGTTAGATAATATATAATGTAAAGGGGGTATGTTGAAAATTTCAATCAAATTACTTCACTCTAAGCCAAGAAATACTCACTTTAAAAACCCTGTAGCCTTGATTGTCATTGTTGCCGGTGTGACGAAAATAAAAAAGGTCTCGATTATCCATTTTTGCGTTCAATCATCAATGACTGTGGAACGGTAGATCGGATTCAAATCCAATGAAAATCAGAAGCATCAGATGGCACCAAGAGTTGATCATGTTAATTACTGTCTAATTAATAATTTAGATCAAATTTCAGACCTAAAGAAAGACCTGCAATTGTCAAATTTAGCTCTTGCATAATGTAGGTTTAAACAATTTCAAAGTTTACAATCGGTTAACAACCGAAATCCCACCCTATGCCGAGCTGAATTTCAACCATCCAATCAGCTTGTTGCTGCTGTATCTACAAATAATAATTGATGCCCAAAATATGTCGCACAAAGTAGAGTGGCTCCAGATAAAATGTTTTAATCCATAGTCAATTCAGTACAAACTTGCAGTATTCAATAGTCTTTGGATGGGACAGAAGAAAAACAAGGTCCCATTGGCATGTACGTAAACAGAAATGAAATGAAATGAAGTTTAACGTCCTACTGTTCTGCTCCTAACCTGGGCTAATGAAGAAGGGCATACGCCATACAGTGTGCTATGAGGGAAATTTTGCCCGGACAGCGGCACTACGGCCTACTCTTATATCGAATTCCAACTGCCAAGGGATCTTTTACGTGCATTCCAATGTGTACACGGGACCTCGGTTTTTCGTCCCATCCGAATGACTAGACAGCTTTCCTTGTCAGGCTCTCCGTCCTGCATCACTGACAAGGGGAAACCACGCCGGAAAATCTGGATGAACTTTCTCGGCCAATGCAGGGATCGAACACCCGACCTCCAGGCTAGCGAGCTAGCGTCTTACGCAGTACGTAAACAGATCCCTTGGCATTTGGAATTTGATATAAGAGTAGGCCATAGTGCTGCTGCCTGGGCAAAATTTCCCTCATAGCACACTGTATGGCGTATACATTATACATTATGCTTGAAATATACTATACATAAAAAAGGGTGAAAAATACATAAAAAGTGGATGAAAATTTATGAGTTATTCGTGTGGGATAGATCCACATCTTTTGTCAATATACAACTATCTCCATGGTGTTCCGGAAATGAGCCGAGGATTGCGAAGGAAGGCGGTTTTCTTTAATGCTGTCACACATCTCGTCTCATAATGGTAAGTTGTCGGCGAAATCACACTTCACTGAGCTGGACACCATTCTTCAGCTAATGTTTTCTTTGTATACTGAATTGTAGTTCCTTTAGTAACGGCTTGTTATCAGACTCTGTCCGCTATCCGTCCCTGTCTGTCCCTATTTTTTTAGTTCAGTTTAGAAAGACCCTAATCCAACAATAGGGTGACCCATGTACTCACAGAAATACAGTCCACCGCTGATAGTTCGAGACTACCACTGAAGCGTGCACATTCGCCGTGCCGAGACCAACTTTCTGCCAGTGTGATACTATAAATAGCCATGGCACGTGCAATTCTCTACAAATCTATCAACTATTACAGCCGTAAAAAATTTATTGTTGACGATTTTGAATAGCAGTAAAATTAAGCTTCTTGGTTATTACAGCAGATTTAGAAATTACGTTTGTTTCATTTTTTAAATCGCTTTATCATTAACTGTACCGTTAAGAGCGGCATCTTTTGGTTTAGTACAAATAATATCTCTGAATCACTCGGGTTAGACAGGAACATGATACTAGCAGTAGTTTCATTTTACTTTTACAAGCTTCTTAAAACGATTGTTGAGCTACCTAACGTGCTTATTTCTAAATTCAATTTCTTGTTCTAGCTTTCTGTTATGTTCCGTAAAAAAGTAGTCTTGATTATCCCGACCTGTCAATCAGACGTAGAATGGTCGATAGACTGGTTAAGCGAGACTAATTTCAAAACAAGGGCACGTAACCTATCTTTTACTCAAAAGTGTCTGGATGTTATGGACGACTCTTGGAACCAGTTTTCAGTCTATTATTTATACATGATTAATGGTCATAGCTTATTAAGTACAACATGATCGTTTATTTAGTGACTATAATTGTGTGAAACTGATTTAAGGCTTGGCATATATATAAATATTGTGGCGTAATTGTCGAGATAAATGGAGATATTTATTTATGGTGGGTCACCCTACCAACAAGTTAGATGTTACTCTTTGATATTCTGAAGACGTAACATCTAACATCCGAACAGTCAAAACCTTGTCGCAAAGGTTGATAACTAGTTTACTTCTTTCAGCGTACGGCTAAACTCCCAATTTTCAGTTATCTGCTCCACTAACACATTCAACTTACATATCATATCCATCTATGTTCCGAAAAATATTTTTTGCTGTCTATTTTAAGAGATTTCACAAAAATCTTCGCCTACACACAACAAAACACGGTGAAACAGGAAATGACCTACATTGGTCAAAGTTGAAATCTGGCATGGTGCATTCTTTAAACCAAACGAAATCATGAGACTATAATTTGAAGGCGATCATTTTAAATTTATTTTTAGTGATGGTCCGATTATCGGTTTCACTATTCAGTAGCCTAATTGGCCGATGAGTGGCCTATCAGAAGAAATTTTACCGATATTTGCATAGCCGATATCTGTTCAAAATGACTCGGCAGCCAATAAATCTTTTCATAGAATATTATTCAAATTGTGAACAAAGCATTCTTTTTAGTCTCTTACTTAAAATGGCACTCGGCCCTTTTATTTTAGTTGCCGTGTGTGTGATACAAGACTCAATGCTTTATTATAGATATTTTCAACGATAGAAAAAGCGGGAAAATGTCACGTGACATTGACAAGACAGAAGCAATCATAATCAACCAGTAGCGATGAAACATTCTACAAATGCCGACAAATTTAAGGATTTATATTGTAATGAACATTTAATAACATTTTATAAATAATAAGCTCAAGCATACCGCCTATGCTAGAATTTACCACGGCATAACGGCAAAAATGTCGTAAAAAGTAAAAGCTGAAGCAAACACGGACTGTCACAGTAATAAAAATTGCTCAAATTGCGCCGTTTTCCACGTGTACACGTATCAAAAAGTTATGCCTTTTATATACATGTAGACGTATGAAATGCATAGGTAATAACTTTTCAATATATCATACAGTCGTCCAGGGGCGGCTGGGCTTGGGATTAGGTCAATAATTCAGAAATGCAAGATTTAGTTGTAAATAGTGTCCCAAGCATACCCTTAATAGTTCATTTTTTCATAAGAATGCTCACTTTCTAAAATAGTGCCCTTATTATAGAAGGTTATGACATGATGGCAACCATTGGGAACACGAATAACTAAAGGATCGAAAGGAAAAAAAATTCGATGACTTTATTACTCCAAGAGGAATCTGTAAATTTTATACTGATGACAGTACCACCAAACGCAATTAGAACCAGATTAATTGACACAGAAAACCATTGCACGGACCGTTTGTCTATCTACAAATATAAAAATTGCATGTTCAGTGACGAAAAATGACAACAGTACATAATTTGTTAAATATGAAGAAAGGCAGCCGTGCCTTATAATTGTCAGCTAATTTTTATTACGGCATTTATAAATTTTTGGTGCCGTTGGAAGTTGTTCAGGAACACCACAGGAGGCAAGAATGACCACTGCCAGACGATTTGTACGGTGGGTTACCCCTAACAGACACGGCCTAAGTGTCACGCCCCGCAACTAGGCTAGATTAGATGAAGTGTATACCATCTACATGTACATATAAAACACAGGGGTCCATGAGTTATGCCCCTTTAGCCAAAAACTTTGTGAATATGAAAGAGGCCACAGATTTTTAACAGATCTTTTCAAATTTGGTATAAAACGTTGGTTTCATGAGAGGACAAATACTATGGATATTGAGCACCCCGCAACTTTTCCATTCTGAAGTTAACCCCTTTACGGAAAACCTTCTGAATGCGATATAGTGTACCATTTTTAACAGATTTATTTCAAATTTCTGTGAATTTATGTGAAGCACTGGAACAATAAGAGTATGTGTTCTATTGATTTTCCCTGTTCTCTGTCAATCTGTTGCAAAATTAATTGTATTTTGATTTTATAAAAAATCCATTATGTTCAATTTGTTCTTATTTTATATATTACAGGAAACTAATGATGTTAAAACCTTTCATCAGTGTGTTGTATGTGATGAAATTTTTCAACAATATGATGATTTAGAAAAACACAGTAAAATACATGTTAAAAATGAGAAAACTGATGATATAGATGAATATTGTCATGTTAAAGAAGAGAAAACTGGTGATATAGATGAATATTGTCATATTAAAGAAGAGAAAACCGATGATGTAGATAGATATTGTCATGTTCAATTTAAAGAAGAGAAAACGGAAGATATTGAAACATGCTATCAGTGTAATTTATGTGATGAGGAATTTAAATCTGACATTGATTTAGAAAAACACTGTGAAATACATGTTAAAGATGAGAAATCTGTTTTACAACATGGTAAATGTGATATTTGTAATATTTCGTTTAGTACGAATAATTGTCTACAAGCACACATTAGAATTCATACTATAGAAAAACCTTATAATTGTTATGTTTGTAGTAAATCATTTTCTAACAATAGCCATCTACAGTCACACATCAGAACTCATACAGGTGAAAAACCCTATAAATGTGATGTTTGTAGTAAATCATTCACCGAAAATAGTGCTCTACAAACACACATTAGAATTCATACTGGTGAAAAACCTTATAAATGTGATGTTTGCAGTAAATCATTTAGACAGATTAGTAGTCAACAGTCACACATGAGAATACATACAGGTGAGAAGCCTTATAAATGTGATGTTTGTAGTAAATCATTCACAGGCAGCAGTCAACTTCAGAGACACGTCAGAATTCATACTGGTGAAAAACCTTATAAATGTGATGTCTGTAGTAAATCATTTACTGAAAGCAGTACTCTTCAAAAACACACCAGGATTCATACTGGTGAAAGACCTTATAAATGTGATGTTTGTAGTAAATCATTTACTACTAATGGTCATCTACAGAGACATATCAAAATTCATACTGGTGATAAACCTTATAAATGTGATGTTTGTAGTAAATCATTTACTGATAATACTTATCTACAGAGTCACATCAGAATTCATACTGACGAAAAACCTTATAAATGTGATGTTTGTGGTAAATCATACACTAATACTAGTAATCTACAGAGACATGTAAGAATTCATATTGGAGAAAAACCTTGTTTGTAGTAAATCATACTCTACAGAAACACACCAGGATTCATACAAACAGACCTTCAAATTTATACTGAAGAAAAACCATAATGAAATATTTAGTCACACTGACAATTTACATAGTAAAAAGTAATATAAAATCAGGAAGTTAAAATTTTAACTTTCAAAGTTTTTAAGGTTATGTATAAGTTATTGTAGTGGTTAATATGTGTAGGATAAAGCACGAGACTGAGGTTATGCTGGGGAAAGAAAGACTGAAGAAAATAACCCGAGAGAAAGAAAAACCGAGGCCGGCAGGCCTAGGATTTTCTGTCGCGGGTTTTTCCTGAAGTCTTTCTTCCCCAGCATAACCGAAGTCGAGGACTTTATCTTGCTTATAAACTGTCTATGTTTACATGTACACAAGATGAGAATATCCCAGAATTCCCATAAGAAAAAACTTATATCATGTTTTCTTATGGAAAAAAAACCTTACCTTGAAAGAATAACCCGTTACTGGTTTAAAGCAAAACTTTCAGAAGAATAACCCCAAATTTCCCTGTATATATCCAAAGCCGCCCCCGACTTTCAGACCGTAAGTTATTCCGGGCATAGAATATACCCCAAGGCGTGCTACATGCTGTATTCATCTGTATAGTAGTTAATGTGGTACCATATTATATGATATATACTGTAGCCATACTGTAGCCATCTGTAGTTAAAGGGTGATTCCCGAATTTCATAGAGCCTAAGATATAACATTCCGTGTATGTATGAAATTTAAATGTCAAAATATAGAGGAATAGTGTATTTACCTATAAGATACATTCTGTATTCACCTGTATATAAATACCACAAGATGTAAATAAATCTCTGTTTTAAGTTATTTTGTACTGATTCATTAACTGGTCTGAGAATTTGAGTCAGTTAAAACAACTGTCAATCAGTTTTAGAAGCTGCATTAGTTCAGTGAGTAAGCTGTCGGCTCGCTTACGTGGAGGTCCAAGTGTTGGCAGAGAAAGGTCATTAGGATTGGGGGGGGGGGGAGTGGATGGCTGAATGGTTAGCGTCTGCGCTCTGTATCATAACGTCAGTCATTGAGTCAACTGGCGTGGTTTCGATTCCCCGGTTGTACATGACTAGTAGTAGGGTCGCCTGTCTAATCTCGCGGGTTTTCTCTGGGTCCTCCGGTTTCCTCCCACTGCTAAAGACCCCTACACGCAAGCAAATTATTGAAATAAAATTAAACCATGTTAGTCCCAAAATGCCCTAGTTAAACCCCATTTCTCTCTCTCTCAACAGGATTTTCTGGCATACTTTGCCCTTGTTATTGGTGCAGCACGGCAGACATGGCAAAGGACAACGTATAATCGTTCGGATGGAACTATTCAAAACAACAGTAGGTCGTAGCACCGGTCTCCGGCCAAAATTACACTCGTAGCACACTGCTTGGCATATGCTCGTCTTCATTAGCCCAGTCACAGCAGAAAAAGTAGGATATTAAACCTTATTTCTTTTCATCCATGAGTGTCAATTTTACTGGTGAAATATTGAGACAGTTGTGTGCTTTGAAAGAAATTTTTCCCCGGCCTACTGTTGAAGGGGGTCAAATGCCGGGGCTAAAATGACCACACACAAGGGTTCATTCCTTGAAAATACTTTATTAACTATAAAAAGAAAACCCCTAAAGAGGGGTTTTATAATAACTACCAATTGATATAAAGGTGAAATACCTTTAAACGTTGGAACACTGATAAATAAACTGTCAAACCACTATTGAAGAAGCTTCAATATTTACATCTAGCAACACTTGTATACTAATAAATACGCAATACCAGTTAACAACCTTTATATAACTAAGGAGAGGAAAAGTGTCTTCCTTTGCATTTAAAAACTATAGGACGAATGTCTCCAAGGAAACTTTCATACAACTAGACATATAGAAAAGGTTAAAGTTGAAGATATGGTGAGTGGAACTCACTACAGACCAGGTACAGAGTGGATAGTATAGAATAGGTTTAAAGGGATAGTACAACCACTATTAGTTTATATTAAGTGCAGATTAAAATGACTAAAAACCAACTATATATACTATTCAAAAAAAGTAGGGGATATTTGATTTTTAAGTGTTATTAAAGTCACCTAATGAAAGTGACGAAGAAACAAATGACAAAATGAAATGAAGTTCACATTCATCGATTTATTCCAAATGATCGTTAGACTAAGTAAGGCACAGACTGACCATTATAAGGGTAAAATGATACCCGGGGTCAAACAGCAAAGTTACCACAGCATCACAACCAAGTCAGTAACGGGTAAATCCTCCTCTGTTTGCCAAACAAGCATCGATCCGACGTGGCATACTCCTAATGAGACGTCTAAGGTCATTTTGGTCCAGATTGTCCCATTCCTGTTGCAACGCAGCAGCAAGTTCTTGGACATTGGCAGGACGTTGTTGACGTTGACGTAACCTCTGTCCAAGCATGTCCCAGACATGCTCGATGGGGGAGAGGTCGGGACTCAGTGCTGGCCAAGGTAATGTGGTGATGTTCTGTTGTTGGAGGTAACCTGTAACGATCCTGGCCCTGTGACATCTTGCGTTGTCATCCTGGAAGATGAAACGGCGGCCATGACGTCGTGCGAACGGCACAACATGGACTGCCAAGATGTTGTCCCGGTAGTACTGGCCTGTAACACGCCCTGCAACAACATGTAAAGCCTTTCTTGCAGCAACAGTGATGCCTCCCCACACCATAACAGAACCACCCCCAAATCGATCATGTCTGATGGCGTTAACGTCTTGGAAGCGCTCGTTTCGACGACTCCACACCCTCCTACGTCTGTCCAAAAAATCAACAGTGAACCTTGACTCATCTGAAAACATCACATTGCTCCAGCGTCGATTATCCCAGTGTTGACGATCCCTACACCAACGACGTCTTGCCTGAATGTGATGATCTCTCAAACAAGGGATCACGCGAGGACGTCGGGCGCGAAGGTGACCCCTATGCAGTCGATTCCGAATCGTCTGGCCACTCACTCTCACACCAGTGTCTGTTTGAAGACGAGTGCTGATCTGATTTGCTGTGATGACACGATTTCTCAAGGCCAAGGTACGGATAAATCGATCCTGGGCTTGAGTTGTCGCCCTTGGTCGACCTGAGCGTGGTCTGTCCTGTACAGATTGTGTATCACGGTATCTGGACCATAGCCTGCTTATGACAGACTGAGAAACATTCATCGTCCGCGCCACAACCGCCTGTGTTGTGCCGATCTGTAGCATGCCAAGGGCACGTAACCTTTCATTTTGGGTAAGCCGACGCATATCAAAATTTGTTTTCTGGTCACTAAAACAATTAAACTGATGTTTCCACCCTGGAATTCAATGCCACAATGACTGTAACATTCAAAGTCAGAGTCGTGCAAATCTTGGGTTGGACCCCCATGATGATCCCAAGCATCACATGCATTCCATGCGGTAGCTATTGGTGCGTTTGGGCGTCACATGTAACTGGAAATGTTTCTTCTGTTAGGTTCTATAGTGACTTTTTTCGTAGTCATTTGCATATTTTAGTATTATGCCCCCAAAATCAAATATCCCCTACTTTTTTTGAATAGTATATATTAAAAATATCACTCTGTCACATATTCCCCTGCTAACTAAAAATGTTGTCCTCAACATTAATCAAAATAAAACTTATAACTATTTCGGAAATATTTCTGGAAAAATTCTCTGGCACAGTGTTGGTAACATCTCCAAAACTATACGTAGTCTGTCTGGTGGCAAAGACATGAAGTCAGCTGGAAGTAACGATCTTTCCAGCTCCGCACGTCTTTGAAAATCTGGAACAAGCTGCTGTTGATGCGCCAGCACATATTCAGCCTGCCAACTTGGTGGTTTTCGTTGTCTTGTAGACCTACGTGATTCAGGAACAGATGGTATAACTAACGGTGGCAGTGGTTCTTCAACTGATGGATCATCACCGGAAACTGGTGTCACTTGGCCCTCTTCTAAACCATCTTGAAGGACTTCTTCAATCTCCGGAACGATAACATCTTCCCTTCCTGTGTCATCAGCTGTGGAGCTAGCCTGAGGCAGGAAGTCTGTTTCAACCACAAGATACACAGGTTCTTCATCTTCTTCACTGTCACTGTTCCCTTTATCGTCTTCATTGTTGGTTTTAATTGAAACATTACCTCTGGTCTTCCTTGGTTTAGCTACTGGATGTTTCAATGATGCTGTTGGAGATATGCTTTCTGGTATGGCGCTAATTGGTAAAAGATGGTTCCTGTGGAGAGTATGTACACGCTTTCCACCATCTTCACTTTTAACCTTGTAAACAGGAATATCCAGATTCGGTTGGCTCAGCACTTTGTAGGCGATGTCTTCCCATTTATCCGAAATCTTGTGTCTTCCCTCTTTGAACGCTAATCGTCGTACCAACACACGATCACCAGGTTCTATCTTGATGTTTCTGGCTCTGTTGTTATACTGCCGCTGTTGAGTTTCCTGGCCTTTGTTAACTTCTGCAGAAGCTGTCTTGTATGCATATTCAAGCTTATCTTTCAAGTCATCCACATAGGTGTTATAGGATTTACCCTCATCGTCATTATTGACAAGTCCAAGTATGACATCTATCGCTAGAGTTGGTTTACGGCCAAACATCAGTTCAAAAGGAGAGTATCCGGTAGCTGGATGCCTAGTGGAGTTGTACAAGTGGTGCGACATAGGTCTTCCAATCTCTCTTTTGTTCTGGTTGCAGCGTTCCTAGCATATTGAGTAGTGTTCTGTTGAATCTTTCACACTGTCCATTGCCTTGGGGATGATAGGGTGTGGTTCTTGATTTATCCATACCTGTTAGTTGACACAATTCTTTGATGATCTTTCCTTCGAATTGTTGACCTTGATCACTGTAAATTCTTTGCGGAATGCCATAGTGAACAATAAAACCATCAAAAAACGCTTTCGCTGTTGTTTTTGCTGTGGTGTTACGTACAGGAAAGGCTTGAACATATCTGGTAAAATGGTCTGTAACTACTAAGATGTTGTCGTATCCTACTTTGGACTCTTCAATACACACATAGTCCATGTACACTAACTCTAATGGTTGACTGGATGTGGTGTTCACTAGAAGACATGTTGTTGCTGTTGCCTTTCTCCTAAAACATCTTGGACACTGTTGGATGTATTCTTCAATGTCGGTTGTCATTCTAGGCCAATAAAATCTGTCTTTCGCCAAACTAACAGTACGATCTCTTCCTTGATGTCCAAGATGATCGTGTACTCCTTGGAGTGCTTCACCTCTGTATGCTCTGGGAAGAACAAGCTGCAGCCTCTCTTGATCTTTGTATACCGTCCGTCGAAAAAGAGTTCCGGATCTAAGGACGAAGTGTCCATATTCCCTCTGCAGACCTGCTTCTTCAGGACATGTAGGCTTTCGGCTTGGTCTTATATTCTTCTCTGTGTCATTTAAAACAAACTTTAGCAAAGGATCTCAAGCTGCTTTTGTCTCCAAGTCTTGGTGTCAACCATTGGCGAAGAATTCTTGATGGCATCCGGAATCACTTGTTGGGACATACTGATGGAATGAATGTACCCACTGGCAGTTTCGATATCTTTCAATGCTCCTATAATCTCTTCGTTCACCTCAATAAATCTATCTTTTTCCGCGCTGTTGGTATCTCCTAATCTACTTAGGGCATCGACATCTCCACTTTTCTTGCCAGGTCTGTATTTGATGGCAAAATTGTAGTTGGTAAGTGCTGCTAACCAGCGATGGCCTGTGGCATCTAACTTAGCTGTGGTAAGAATGTAAGTTAAGGGGTTGTTATCTGTAAACACAGAAAAAGCTGTTGCTGTAAAGATACTGATGGAAT